CACTCAGGCAGATAAAATCATTAAAATGCACATAAGCATGCATATCAAAGGTAACACTTATTTTCGAAAACAACTCATATGATATAACTGAACCACCTAGTCTCAGATGAAAATAAATCCTAGGACATGCGGCTATAATTTTCATTTAAATCACACAAGCATTAAAGGTCATTTAATCACATACTTTTCAGCAACATTTAAATCATGATCGCAATTTAAAGCAGGAAATAGTCAACTTACATGGCTTCAGAAAATTGAGAATTTTATAAACTACAGGCACCCAAATAACACGATCCAAGACTCAATTTAAGCCTAAGGCATGCATCTACAATATTTATTTAGATCACAGAAACAGATAAGGTCATTAAGATAGTGTAAAAGCATTTAACATTTAGAAGTCAATTTCTGCCATCAAAATATTTATAAATTACAGCAGGGTACTAAAACAAGAATATCTCATGCCACAAAACTCCGACTCAACACCTACAGAAACTAAACTTGAATTTCTACAAGTTCCAAGAAGGGTATCTTTACAAATAATCACGTTAAGGGCCTCATTTCAAAGAATACATCTCAATCGTAAATACAGCCACTGTTTTAAAAATTCTGGGCATAACTCCAACCTCGAAAAATCATATAAAATCAAATAAAACACCAAATTGCAAGATTTCAACTTCCAGAGAAAGCTTATAACATGTACTACAAGTTTCATGTTGATCATATTTTCACATAGTCACATTAACATTGTCAAAACAACGCAACATCATGATTCACAATTCTGCCCGAAATTTCAAAAACTTGTTGTAGTTTCAATTTCAAAAATTCATAACAATTTCAATTCAACTCCGAATCATTAAATTCCAAGACTCGTAGAAACCTAACTCAAAGCACTACAAAATTTATGAAGAACTCTTAACTAGAAGACAGATTTTAGGCCACAATAATCCGATCACAAACAGAGGCTATAACGAGAAGTTCGCATACAATTTTGAGCACAAAAACATAATTTCATGTACGTAGCATCAAGGGTCACATGTAATCACAATATACAAATCATGTACGCACATATTTAATATAAGAAAGTCAGCCCTAACATGATTTTTAACACAAATTTTTATAAACTCACACGACCACCACGTAACACGTTTTAAAGAATCCCAGTCGTGTAATAATCGTCAAGTTCAGTCATATAAGCATGTTTTTCAAAACATCAATTTTAACATCTCGAGTCATATAGAGCCACAACCTCATGCTTAAGTAAAAATTCATACCTTTTACAAATGCGTGTCTCGCAGTCAACTCACATGATATTCACGCGATGTCGGAGCAATCCACTCGTCCTATGGGCGACGTCGTCGTCTTTCATCCATGCATTAGTCTTCAGGACTTGCGCTCGATCCAACGTACGAGATT